TGGATCCTGAGTGTATTGCATCAATATTGTCAAGTCATAAGGGTTTTAATGTAAAATTAGATTTTAATTAACTGTGAAATCTAAGATGTGCGTTTCATTATATTTAGGACTCATCAAATTGGTGTATCTGCAAAACGATCGACCTATTAGTTTGATTTACAATCAACTTGATTAGCAACGCCTACTTGCTTCGTTTTAGCAAAATTTATTATTAGGACTGCTTGGAAATTAATCCAAAACGACGTAACTTAAAGTGGACGTGGCAGGCGTAATGAGGTCACAGTATTTGATTTCAGTTTATTAGTTTTATAGTTCAAATATGATCGCCTTTGAATTAAATTTTCCCATTTTCTGGTAAAGCATATAACAATAATCAGCACTTCGAGTTTCACTGTTCTTCTTAGTATTTGTTAACCAAACATTTTTCTTCAAAATTACTTCTATGATGTCTATAAAAATAATATATATCTTGTGACACGGACTTGACCTACCAGTGTACTTTGAAAGTACTAAGTGGTGGTCATGTATGCTTCTCAATATTAGTATTCCTAAGAAACTTTATCTTAGAGTAAAGAAAGTTTTCATTGTGCGACTGCGTGCTAGACTTTTAATTCAGAATAATCGAAAATTTGTAGAAACCAATGATATTAAGAGTCTGCAATGTGACGTTTGTTTTCAAAAGGAGTCTGGTTAATCCCAAACTGCCTCTGTAACATGAGGAAATTAGCATTCATCTTCAAGAAAAGCATTATTTATATCCTAGGATTTTTAGCCCCGTATGCTCATCCATTTTTTTCCATATTGCCTAACAACACTGCGATTGACAAAATAATTATTTTCAAAAACACTCCACAAACATGTAAGATTTTCATTGCCGTTTCATCCGCAAATTTCTACTGATCTGTGTTGACAATTTTGAATCTGTCAAACGTACTAGTTTGTTTGTATCATGAAATATGAGTTTATCGTAATCCAAGAATATGGTCGTCCTCACGTTGTTTAATCTGTGGTCTTTTCATTTGACAAATTAAGTCGATTGGAATTTCATAATGTACAAGTTTGCATGGTGATAGCTGAATCGCTACACAAGGTATACAGTAGCTTACCAAATAAAGGCTTAAAATGAATAGAAGGACATTTTTTGGTTACCTGTTTCGATAGCTCATATTGGACGTCATTGTTTTAGACTTGCTTGAGCTGAGTAATTATAAGCACTAACTGTAAGTACTCATCTGCTACTTTTAAAAAACTTACTAATTATTGGCATCCTTAATTTTCGGAAACCCAAAGGGACAAACTGTCAATATTAACTTTGAAAGAACAAGAGACAGATACATTAGAATCCATGCATCTAATATATGATAGATGGGAACGGCTGTGTTGATAAGAAACTTATTAGAAACTATTAGAATACATTTCTCAATAGTTACAATTTGAAACAACAGATAGGGCTGGTTATGTCTTTGGAAAGTCGTAATATCGACGTTTGCTGTCTATCCGAGACCCGTATTCAAGACTGGTGAAGTACTACAAATTCACTCTCCATCTGTCGCTTCGAACAGCTTGTTTTATGTGCGCTTATCCGGGGACCATGTGGCATCTTAGTCTGGTTTTGTTGGTGTTGATGTCGCACTAAGCGCTAGATTTGAGGCAGCACTAATCGATTGGATCCCAATTAACAGTCGGTTTTATTCTGTTAGATTAGAGAGTTCCATCAAAGTGAGAAACGATGTCTTTTCGTCATCTCCACCTGTGCTTCGACAGAATGCAGCCCAGATACAATCAAGGATGAATTTTACCCCGGTTAACTGTTCTTCTCCGGAAAGTGTGTTCGACAGATATTCTAGTACTAGCCGGAGACTTGAATGCTCAGGTCGGGCGTCTAAGCCCAAAAGAGTCGTTTAGGTGGTCACTGGGGATTTGCTGGTCACATGTCAAATAACGGGGACCGTCTACCGCAACTGTGCACAGACCACAACCTGTTTCTGACTAGCACTAATCACTAGCACAGTCATCACCGATATGCCACCTGGCACCCTACCTCTGCATCTCAAGCCTGGACTCATCGCGATCAGCTACCCCTAACGTGGTTGTGTGTGCCGACTCTTCGGAGTGCTTATCTGGATTCTGATCATCTCCTTGTTTGTGCTAATCTTACTTTACTTTTCAGTGGCCAGCAAATTCATCGTCCCAAACAGATGGATGTCAGTAAATTGGTTGCAGCTCCTCTTGTAACTAAATATCAAACCGAGCTAGGTTCAAGGCTAGCTACCATTCCACCGAAAAGTATAGATGAGCATTATTGCAATTGCATGACGCCATGAAAATAGTGAGTAAAGCCACTTGCATCTTCGCAAAACGTCCCGCTTATAAACACTGGGTTTCTTCAGGCTCCTTACAACTAATCGAATCCCGTCGGTCTACTCCGGGTGACCGTAAGTTTGGTCACAAACGAAGGATGTTACGTGAGGAAATCGAGCAAAGCTTGCGTAAGGACCGAAAAGCCTGGAAGTCGGAGCGTGCTAATGAGCTGGAAGCAGCAGCTGCATCTGGTAATTACCGGAAGCTCTTCCGACTGATCCGAACCACTGGCAGCAAGAAGTCTGGTATGAGCGAAACAATCTACGAGGATGACGGGATGTCAATCACTTACATTCATCGACGTCTTGGACGATGGGCAGAATTCTTCGAAGGGCAGTTCAACTGGCCTGCTGCTCCGGCAACATCGATCAGACTGTCCTGCCCTTCGTGGTCGGTGACATCTGATCCACCAAATGAGGCGGAAGTTCGCAAGGAACTCCAACTCTTGAAGCGTTACAAATCACCTGGCCCAGATGACTTACATCCGGCTCTTTTTAAAGATGGTGGTGACTTTCTGTTGTCTGACTTGCATAAATGTGGCAACGTTGAAGGCAGACAGTTTGAATGGTGCACGTGGTCTCAGAGAAACTGCCTCAGTATTCGTATTCGTTAAAAAAACATACAATTTTCAACCAGGCAGTGACTCGAGAACGTTGAGATAGAATCGAATCTCCACCATAGGCGAGCTTTTGTATAAGTCGAAAAATAAGGACGGACAGTGGGGGATAAAAGAGAGTGAATAAATGACGTAGTAAATAATAATAATAATGTGATTCGTTTGATTGTTAATCGAATCAACAAAAGTATTTTCCATAATTATCAGCAGTTCATCATATTTGTGTGTGGGCTGTGATACTGATTGGGTGCCCAAACCGAAGCAGGTGGTTTTCTTAGGTGGTCACTCCTTAAGCCTTTGACCTAAAGGTCTAACCTACAAGGCAGTGGAGCATCGTGAGGAGATGCGGTCTCATGGTAGCCAGTGACCCAAAATTGATTCACACGCCATTTGTTCCCGCAGGATACTGGAGCCCATGTGCACCATTGGTTTGGGATCCGGTTAAAGCGCTGGGCATTCGCTTTTCGTCCTCTCATTTTCGTAAACAACACCCCCGCCACGAGAAGGCAGTGAGTAGGATTTCCCTGGAAGAAGCTGTATACGCGTGGCCGTGTGAGTGCATTTCGAGAGGGAGGGCGGTTGATGTTTTTGAATCGACACCGAAATTCATTCAGAAGCCAACGCACTAAAACTGATGAGGCTTTCATAATGTGAAAAACTTAGCGGATTTCACTAACTCAGTTCCGTTTAGTGAATCTAGATGTTCACGCAGACAGTTTTCTTCTGGGAGTCCTTCGAGTTAATTTAATTGCAATATAGTCTATCTACATCCCTCATCGAGATGATTTCAGGTCTGACAACTTTTTATCTGTCTAAAATTGTTTCACGCTAAGATTTTAATGGTTATCTAAGTATAGCCGTGACAGAAAATCGCAGTTATCTATCCAGTGAACTTGGATGTCAAACAATGCGTTCAAGTATCTTTCAATATGACTTACCCTACTAACCTGTTTTTTGAAATCAACAACAATTAGAGGTATGTGGTTGGCGTACATGTACCGGCTGTTCACAAAAAGGAAGATATATTTTCTCGAGGGATCTGGGAAGAAAATCAATTGGTAGTGGGGGTTTGCCGATCTGCGAGCATGGTCATAGAGCTCGTTGAATGATTTTCGACTTCCGGCCAAACATTACTTTTTTTAATGATTTTGTTATCTTAACTCTGACTACTAGCCCTATAAATCCATCAGGTAACCTAAGGTGTGGTATTGTTTAGATCAACTTTATTTACTCCTATCATATGTTGCGGTATAGTGGCAATGCTTGTGATTCTCAGGCCTTAGATTCACCGCCTTTTTTCTTGGCGCTATACAACGGACTCACTGTTGGGGTAAAAGTTCAAATGTTTCAGGCAACATAACTTGATTAGTTCATAATGATAGGTAAGCTCAATCATCGTATCAAGATACTAGCTGCAGTTTACATAGTGAGTTATTTTCGTTCAATGAACCATTACAGATGAGTCTTCCATAGTTTACTACTAAAATAAAAAACTTAAATCATTTTCCGAGAATCAGAAACAAGAATGTGGCAATCGCATCTAATCGTCTCCATATTTCCATTTCAATCAACGACGCGGTATTGTGACTATTTTCATATTTGTTGTATAATTTACTGAAATGACCGAGGCTTATCATCAGATTTTCGTAAAAATATCTAGATGGTAAGTGAATCGTTATATCGGTTAGTTAGGTTTGAAAAACTTCGTTTTTTGAAGTCATACTCAAAGATACAGTAACAAACGTCAACATACCGTAATGAATAGTCAGTTCGTCAAATAACCTCTGTCAGTGCAAATAAGTCGGTACTGGATAACAGCTGATATCAAACATGAAGTACTGAAACAGATCTTGGGCACTGAGGAACGTTCAATTGGTTTATATTAAATTAAGAGTGCAAATTGTATTCGAATTAAGAAACTCCCTTACTAAGTGTATTTAATCTTATTTATCCAACTAGCTCTGATTAAAAGTCGTTTCACACTTATAAATAAATAATTATATATTGCACACACAATTAACAGAATTGAGAAAATTGAGGAGAAATTGTCGCTTGAATCGAATAAGCAGACAGAAACTGAGCTTACTTTAAGGAAATTAATTGATCAGGTTGAACTTATGAAAATTGCTGCTTCCAATTCGATGCAAACTACAAAACCAATATCTGTGAAAAGACAAGGACATCGGAAAAGTTCAGTAAGTCAGAGAGTAAATTTTTTTAAAATCATAGATATTATTTTTTAGTTGTCTAATGAAGATATTTCCAACGATCGAAGTTAATTTTATGCGTAAATAGTAATTTGTTAGTCAAATTATTGTTAATTTGAATACGTTCCTATTGAATTTAATTTTGAATGCCTATTCAGAGAATATTTGATTTGGCTTATTAACTCACCAGTGATTAACCGTATTGTGCAACTGATCTGCATTAGATTTAGTATGATTTATTAGGAGAGGAATCTAGTTGTTAACACATTTATAAAGATGCCAAACTTGGTATTCTAAAAAAATTAAGCATTTTTTTCCTATCTTAAAATAAAATCGACTAGGTCTACATTTAAGATCTTACTAAATCCTCATACTTAGGTAGATCTAAACTGCCACTTTTCAAAAGTGACTTAAGCTAAATAAAGTAACTAAGTTGCCGGATTTTGTTTTCACTCAGTGTCCCTCATTAAATGAATGTGGAAAGTTCAAGACACATTACGGACGAAACGGCCGTCCAGTGCTTCCAGGTTTTCCATGGTGGTCTAGCTTCAACTGACTCATGATCTTAACCATTGGAATTACTACAATCTCCACAAAAAAACCCATCTGATATTAATCAAAAATATGCTCACTAGTGACTGGCTTCACGAGGTATATCCTGGAGTTCTAGTGAGAAGTAGTGACCAGTGGAGTTCAACCAGGTCTGTTGTGAGGTAGTAACTCACTGAAGACAATGGTGAATGTGTGGCTCAATTTCGTGGATTAGTTGAAGTTAGACATGAACACCGTTGGATGCCGGCTCATTGGTCTAGTGGTTAAGTGCTCGCGCGCGAAACTAGTAGGTTCTGGGTTCGAATCTCGCAGGGGGCGAGGTCGTGGATGCGCACGCTGAGGAGTCCCACGATAGGACGAAACGGCCGTCCAGTGCTTACAGGTTTTCCATGGTGGTCTAGCTTCAACTGACTCATGATCTTAACCATTGAAATAAATAAAACTTGAATTATGAATTTGTTTTCAATGTGCAAAATTAAAGACGTATTTCTATTTTGAAATAGTTAACTACGTCCGGAGTCCAGTATTCACAGAATGCGAATCAAATATTGAACCCAGGTGCCTTTACATGCTCTGATGAATCGTCGTCTGACAATCTACCTAGTCTGTCGAAAAGTGAGAAAACACCCAATGTAGTCTATACTTATATTGATAATTACCTTAAAGCCTGGTAGGTTTAACTTTTACGAAGTTCTCAATAAACATTTTGATATTTATCTATAAAAAGTTCTTTATTCAAGATAGAAAATGTCTAGTAAATATAATCATGTTTGGGGATTCTCTGTGACAATTTCGCAATTAAATCATTCAAGATGATTGCTTAGCAAAGTTTTCTTACTTGAGAAAATACGTGAGGTGTTGCGTTGTTGACTGTTATGTTATCATATATAGTTGTTTTCCAGTCGTAAAGAAGTTATGGGATTATCCTGAATCGTTAACCTTTGTTCTTTCGCTCCAAACCTTATTTTTTTTATCACTCAGGCCAGATGACTGAAAAAGTTTTCAGAAATGGTAGAACTTGTTGTTTTAGTCATTCTATTCTATTTGGTATTTTTTTCGCTTACCAGAAAAGTTATTCAAACCTCATTTTTATTCGCCACCCTATCATTTGACTGGTTGAGGTCACCTGTAGTATCTAGTACAATGTCAAACCCACATGGGTTATTCCAGTTTCCTTACAGACGAGCTTATTCATTCTGCCTGAGTCACATTTTGACCTTATCAATGTTTATGCTATTAACCTTAGCTGCTTTTATATAAGCGTACGTGTACCACTTATCCTATTCATCACATGTCCTTAGCTTAATTTACTCTGGTTACAAATTGAGTTGGCACAGTTGCCTTCGCTTCTAATTCTTAATATCTGTCAGAATAGACGAGTGCCTGAAATAAATCCATCCAACTCAGTCCGTATTTAGTTTCTTATTACCGCCATTGCACAAACGGGGTTAGCCTATGTGTAATATACGTAGTTAGATGAAGAATTTGTATTCGTGGCATATTCATTACGTTAATCCGAATCAGAGTCAAATCTCAGGTCGCTAAACTATTTTCTCTAATCCAAACAAACATCTTGACAATTCGTACTGTTTATTTTTTGTTTATTGACTTGATTTTTAATTCTTTTTACGTACTACCTTTTAGTCTCAGATATGTGAGTTTTTTTTGTTTCTTGGAGTAATTTTTTATTAATCAGTATTTCAATAAAGGGTACACGTCTTGTGAGTCAGCTAGGATTTTTTCGTGATCATTAGGACAGCAGGGATAAATCACTATTTACAACTAGCTTTCTGTGAGGACGGTCCACGGGTGAACTCGAGGAAGCCGAAGATATTCCATCCAATCATTTTTGGAAGAATATTCTAGAATCTCTACGTGTAGCTTGCCGATTGGACAATGCTAATAACCCCCTGTGTGCGGATTGGATAGCTATAATGATGATTTCGTTTTTACTAAAAACCATAAATACCTGACAGTTTGTACTCTTATTTGACACTGTCTGGAATAACTTTTCTTTCACTAGTCTTCTGTCTTCTCATTGTGAATTGGAAGGGTTCTGGTGTTCAAGTGCTCAAGTTATACGCTTTGTATCAAGAAATATAAGCATCTAGATGTATAACACTCACCAGCACAGTACGCTAATTTCTTATAGCACCCATATATTGTCACGAAAGACATTTCACAAACCATCCTATTATGTAGAAACAAAAACATTGGTTATTTTGTTATGTACGGTTCAGTGCATTTTATTTATTATTTTTAATGGGAAGTTTGGGGTGAACTCCCTTAAAATAATGTGTAATTATCAGACTTCCAGTAGAGAAACTTGAATCTGATTTTATTTCTAACGTTTTAAATTCTCATAAAGTATGTCTAGTGTTGAGAAGAAATTGTTTGGCAAATTAGACATCTGCTTTAATAAAATCCAATCACTTGAAGCACATGCAAATCAAAATAAAACTGAAGATGATAATAGACTGTAAGTTGTTTTATCTGCTCAAATAACACTGGATTAATTTTAGTTTGAACTATTTCGCTCCTTCAGATGTGAATTTTAAGGTGATTCTTTTGAATCGTTTGGTATATTCTGAAATTTATATAAGCCGAACAAATGTTCAAAAAAATGCAATAGATACTCAACTTACGACCAACTATTCTAAAGAAAACCTAGAAACTCATCGAATTTTCTCCATATTACTGTTATCGCAGTGCTGAAATAATGTGGGAACTTTTGTTAGTACCCACAACTGTTGTCGTCGGTTTAATCATTAGTTAGTAAACCGCTGATTAGCCTAATGGTAAAATAACTAGCTACTCTGTCGTCAAACTTGGTACTCTTACGACCGCTATTTGGGGACAGAAAATAGTTTACTCAACGTTCTATCGGTTTCCGAAACTTAAAAGCGAACGGACGATTGCACAGGATAATCGCAAACTCTAATCGTTTGCACATTGTAACAATTGTTCAGCAGTTAAGAATATGTAACTGGAATGTAATAATAACGATGAATAACATTAATAATATTCGATATTTTCCCCACTGATTCACATTAACTAAAAAAATGTAAACATCCGACACAGTACTTGGAGCGACTAAGATCAACCAAAAAGACGATTAAGCAACAATGACCGGGACTCTGATACGAACAAACAAAACTGTTAGTCTCAATACTGCTAATCCGTTGACACTGGGCTTCTTCTATCTTTCTTAGTAGGCATAATTGTCTTGAGTAGGGATGAAAGCCATTATAAGACGTATTTGTGGTGAAGTATTTTCAGTGTTTCTAAGTTATCAAAAGGATCAATTAATCTCCTTAATTCGTGCACACACACAACTTTACAAAAATGTCGCTTATGAATCACCTTGACCGAAATGACTTGACATTGACTTGTTCAGATTGGTAGACAAGGGTAAATACTGTCTGTAAAGCGGCAATTGGCTCTTATGTGGTTTCTATGGTTTTCTGAGGAGAAATCTTATTGAAACTCATGGTCAATTTTTCTGAACATTTTATTTGGGCCATAATTATTTTGAGCTCATTCCACCAAAGTATCTACGTTTATGTTATAAGCTTTTTGTTAGATTCAACCTACAGTTCTGATTACATAAAGACGTTTTACAATTATATCTAATTTAGGTTTCAGCCACATTTGACATCTCAACTTAGCCAAGTTACTGAGGCCTCTTTACTAGTCTAAGTCGTGACTAATTTTTGGTGGTTATAGGCTTTGTTGCGTCCTTGATCTGTCTACCCACTTCTATGCAGCGGATAACTTGTCTAAATCTAGATTAAGACCTTGATACGATAGGCTAACTGGCTTAACCTTAAGTTTAGTATGCGTAGTTCGAAGTGAGATTAACTGCTTGGGCTTGAGAGACGAAAACTATCCTATTAACTGATTGGCTGGGAATGAGTGGACAAGTCAATTGGAACACTATTCAATTTATTCCCGATTCAGATTGGTGTAAAAAGATTCATGAATAAATAGATGACTAACCAGACCACAACGCACAAACAATTAGGAAAAGACAATCGCGTCCAATACTGGGGATTAGAGTAGACAACAGAGTACAAAAGATTAAGTTCAAATTACAATAGCTTTGGAAGAGAAAAGGCTATGGCAGTGAATCATACATCAAACGTAAGCTTATGATCTATGTAATAGACTAGGGACAAAAATAAATGTTACTGTTTTACAAGCTTTGAATTAAATGAAGCAACGTCGGCAAAATAACTTCCATAGTTTGTCGAAGCTTCTTGTTTCTCTGTTCACATCAGGCTTACAGCTGTAAATTATTGATTTGTATTCTCTTGCCTGTCATATCTGATCATTTATGATTCGGATTGGGGAGAGGTGGTTAAAGAGCTTTTGCGGTCGGCCGATTATTGATATTTATTCATATGAAAACCGAGTACAGCATACGGTTGTTGGAGTGAAATTTAAGGCTATTTAGAGATCAGATGTTATATCACGAAGCTAATAACTCAAAGGCTGTATTTAATAGTATTGTAAGGTATGAATAAAATAATAAGGCTGCTTGAACTACTTATGTGAATAATTTATTTGTTTACATGACTGTTTTATGAGATTCATATTCTACGTAATATTTCCACCTTCTTATGGAATTTTGTAGGACGAATTCACAAGAAATCCATCTAAGTTCAGAAGAAAGTGGTTCAGATATGAGTATTTACTCTGAATATCAGGTATATTTTACTTTAGTGGTTGTTCGAATGAATGGCATTTACATCAATACTGTCAACCAGTATTTTAATCGTCCGACTTCAGCACTCGATTTACGGTATCATTACTTCATTTTTCAAGGTTTAGGCAGTCACATCTTTATTAAATATTACACTACACGTTGCTCATCGCCTAGTCCATGAACTTGTAAACTTAACCCATGAGTTTGCTGCTTTTATTACGTATGTATTGTTATCGTACTCTGGCAAAGTAGGAAATAACTTGGTTCAGACGGGAAATTTATTTCGCTGTATTTATTTGCAAAATAATACTTTGATTATTAGTATTTATTTGTTATACTCCTTAACTTCGTGTTTAAAATATATGTTTGTCATTCTGACTGTATGGTGAATTAATTTTAATGTAAACCAAATAAATGTTTTGTGCTTCCAAATTATGTAAATATGTATACACATGCAAAAGCGTTACTAAGAAATTAGGCGCAATAATAGAATGGTAATGTTGTAGAATAATCGAAGAGGGAAAAGTCGTATATTCAGTAATTAACTGAACAAAAATATCATTTCATATGATTTATAGTTCAGTTAAAAATTACACCATGGTATGTTCCTTCTAACTAGGAAGGTTCATCTTGTTGTTATGATGAATATGATAGACACCCTACTAGATTGTATCCCAAGTCATGTTTGGTAATATTTCAAGCAGTTGAGTTGCATGATCTCTAGCCTTAACAAGGAAGTCGGTGAGAAATCAAAACCGCCACCACAAAATTCTTTAAAAGCTTTTTGTAGTGTCGGGTGTTATGTCAAGCCCACATAACTTATTCTCACTTTCAGACAGGACAACTTATTCACCCTTCTTGAGTCACATTTTGACCTTAATTATTCGCTTATTAATTCTGACTTTTTATATGATCATGTGTGCGTGTATTGCTTATCATATTCCTGACATGTCTGTAATTTAGTTCTGGTCTGACTATAAATATCGATTGACGCTTGATTAAATCGAGTTGGTTCACACGCCTCCACTGCGCATCGGTTCGCTTCGTTTCACCGATCGTTTATCTGGATCAACTATTGTATGAAATATATGTACTCGAAATCCATTCTCGTATTTGACTTATTTAATTCCGTTATTCACTTACGCAAGTCGATATATATATATTCGAGAATTGGCGATATGTATATTTCAATAACAATCATTCGTACAATCAAATCGGAGTCAGATACCCGGGCCGCAAAAAATTCCATCAATGGAAAACCTGGTTGGTGTCCATTCTGATCAACGTCCAGGGGTTGAAGGTAGAAAGTTTAAGCTGCATATTAATTCCTGCAATACTTCAGTCAAGTCCTATGTTTAATGATAGCATTAAAAAATTGACCCTAAAGCTACTTGGAGTCGTTTAGATTGGACAGAATTTTCAGCAAATGCAAGACGCTATGTGGTTTAAAGGTTAAACTTAATGTAGGAAAAACTCATGCAAAATGAAATGAAGTAGGTTTGAAGCAATTCAGAATTTTCTTTTAATAATGCAATGAAAAAAAATCATTTTGTGCCTAATGATACAAAGTATCAGGTTCATTTTCTTCACTAAATATAATCGTTATTTCTCTACGTGCCATCATACTGCTCTAGCGCTCAAACTAAGACACGTAGTTTTCTCAAGTTAAAATTCGGACGAGCGTTTTGCATCTGGGTGTAATTCACAAGGTGGATCGATAAAATCGACAGTCACTGAAGCTGGTGACCAAAGTGAATTTATGCTCTATCTGTTCCTCTACGATCCCAGAACCCATGTACACTGTTCCCAGCAGTCAGAGTTTCCCAAAACCTCTACGTAACAACTGTATTCTGAGGTGTTGACGTTCACCCCCACCTTCTTATCATTAGGAAGACCCAGAATATTTCTCTAAAAAAGCCTAACAGGCCCCTAAAAACCCTGGAAGGCAGTTTATTTAATCAACATTGAATGGAAGTTTCGCGGAAACATCTTGAAAGTGAAGAGTCACATTTCTGATTAAGTAATTACCTATCCTGTTACTATGTTTTTTAGGGTCCCAACAGATTTTAGAAACACAAGGCCATTTGAAATGCTATAAATACCTTAAATTTTCTGTACATGAACTAACCTTAGAGTAAACCTTTTCCCGTATTTCGCACCTTTTCTCTCCTGTTCAAGTTGTCGTATATAGTTAGTCTGGTGATTATTAGAAGAGCTTAGGAAACGGATTCAAGCATTCAGTTAGTTTTATCACTTACTTTTTTAGAAAAAAATCTATTATGTAAACCCTGGGTTAATAATTCAGTAACTGTTGTATTTTACAAGTTCAATTTTCGTTTCATGTTTGTCAACTTTGAGAGTAATATCAAGTTAAGTACGAACTCAGTAATTTACAAAATTTATGTGACCATATAACTTTATTTCGACAGAACAATGAGAAGACGGAGTTGATCTGATCTCATTATTGTAACGAAATTTATAAAAGGGACTAATTGCTTTAACTATTTATCCTCAAAAAATTTCTAAACAATTTTTTTTTCAAGTTCGTTAAACTCAAACCTAGTAAAGTGGTGACAAACTAATAAAAGAAAAAAAGGGCTTTGACTGATTAGGGCAAAACAAATTATTAGAGAAGTAATTCATTAATAAGCTGTCACTAAATTATTTTTTCTTGGGTATTGTCGATGCCTAATCTTTTCAATCAGTTAATCACAACGTAGGATCAGGCACATATATGCATCGATCCAAGTTGCCAAACCTCATTAGCACAACAAGATGAACATCAAATTCATAGAACCAGTTACTACAATGGTAGTAATATATAAAAGAAAGATCACATATAAGGATATAATACATGGATAAAGGACTAGTTCGTAAACAGAAATGTATAAAGTAATTTTAATCTCACGGTTTAAGGGAAGACAAAGTGTATACACCTACTCCATTGTGATCGATTCTGAGCCATGTCACCCAAAGTCTTCAACCATTGGTTACGATAGTCTCACGAACCCCAACCAAGTAGTCTGCATCTAACAACATGGCTCAGACCAGAAGTTAGTGACTTCAGGCATTGATGCCATGTTTTGGTTTCACTGCCAGTAACTCTCTTCCGACCGTCTCCAAAACACTAGTCAGCACTGCGTGTCGCGGTAATCGGTGTTCAGGCATACGTGAGACGTGGCCCAACCATCTCAATCGATGAAAATTGACAACCTTATCAACTGGTTTACTACCATTTCTTTATACCCTGCGTCTAACCTCACTGCATCCATGCAGTGGTTTCGTGAGACACCTACCCATTAGGGCTGATCAGACTTACAAGTTAAGTGAAGTTGTCGACGCGTTCAACTACTCCACTTCCTGTCCTTAGTTCAGGTGTTGACGCAGGCCAGTCCTGAAGCAACAACTTGTATTTAGAGGGGAGAAGCGCATCCCCAAAATCCTGGCATTGTTGTTCAGTGCTACCAAGAAACCGCATTTTATCAGTGTTTTCATCAAATAGGACTGTGTCATCCGCGTATTCTAAGTCGATAAATGGATCTCCTGGAAGGAGATCAATTTTTGAAAATTCAGACGACGAGAACATTTCCAGCAGGTCTGTGATAAAATTGAACAAAAATGGAGATAGTGGCAGTCTTTTTGGACACCACTTGTGGTTGCGAAGTCAGATAACAGTTCTCCATAAGCTCTGACTCGACTAGTATTGTTCGAGAAAAGAGCCTTCACAAGGTTTGTGTACTTCTGATGTACATATTTGAGTGAGAGACACTGCCACAGAACCTCCCAGTCAACAGAGTCAAATGCTTCTTTTAATTCAAGAAAGACCAACATTGTCAGACGCCGATAAGCATCCCTGTTTTCTAGGGCGTGACGAATGGTGAGTATGTGGTCGATGCAGCCACAACCAGGTCTGAAGCCAACCTGATTTCCTCGTGTTTGCAGTTTAGGCTGTTTGGGAATGGTAAGTAGCTGAAGGTTATCTGAACTGCCTAAAGTGTTCCGCCCATCGTTCTAAACATCTGGATTGGGAGCAGATAGGAGTATTTTTTCCCGAGATTGTCTCACTTACACTTGTCTTCTTAATTCCAGTCTCTTTTATTAGTCTGAAAAGCTGTCTGGTGTTACCTACAGCCACTGCCTATTCCATCTCTTTTGTTTTCGTTGCCCACCACTGCTCACAATCGTTCCTTAGACTTTTGGTTAACTTAGGTCTGATTTCTTTACGCTCTTCATCGTGTTCGGAACTTGATGGCATGAGTTTACGAGAATCAATCAGTGCAATAGACTTATTAGAAATTCACTGATTTTTCTTGACCGTTTGGTTTAGCTGTTTCCACATCTGTTCGTATATCTTTTCAAGCAACATCTGGTTCAGTCTCGTTTTCAGAACTGCCTAAGTATGACCTCAGTTGTTCCTGGAATGTACTTTTGGCTTTTATTCACTGAGTGCAACTCTAATGGGCATTCTTAATCTGATTTTTCTGCGTCCAGAGAGGCGGAAGCAAATATGTGCTCGTAAGAGAGCATGGTCGGATTCCAAGCAGATATTCCAGAATGAACGACAATATTCTATCGACCCTCTCCAACGATGACTGACGGCAATATGGTCTATTTGAGTCCATCGTTGGTTTGGTGTAGGGGTTCGCCATGTTAGACGATGTCTCTCCTTATGCTTAAAATTTGTGTTTGCTAAAAATAAGCGATTGTCTGAGCACAGTTGCAGCAGACGATCACCATTATCTGTTCGCTGTGTCGGAATAATAAAATATCCACCTAAATGCCTTTCTGTTTGGTTTAAGCTACCTATCTGAGCATTAAAGTCACCGCCTACGAGTATTATGTCTGAGCGTTCAGCTTTCTGAAGAAGTTCAGAAAGCTTTCTGTAAAATTCATCTTTCACTTCATCTGAGCTGCAGTCAGTGGGAGCGTAGGTAGAAACGACGAAAAGGCAACGACGTGTGTCCCTATCCTTCCGAGTTCCTACGTAGCCGTTTAGCCGAACAACACATAGACGACTGTTGACGGCGATCCACTCTAGCAGCGCTTGTTCGGCCCTCATGCCTAGTGCTATGCCTACACCTGCCAGTCCACGAGAACTGGCCATCGGGTCACCAGATACACGTAGGGTGTATCTCGTTGGCTCTCCGTTTTGCCGAGGTGAGGTCAAGTGAATGACCACGCTGGGATCCTGTGTGCGTGTTTCGGAGACACAGCATACATCGATGGAAAGAGACTCTAGGGTTTTAGCCAAGGAAGCCTGCTGACCGATTTGACATAGAGTGCGTACGTTGAAAGCTTCAATGTGTAGTTTGGAGCGAGGTTTCAATAGACCTGGGACAGAGTTTTGAGCACTAGAATCGTTGGCTATGGTGACACTTGAGGAAGAAGCCGAAGGAGGAAGTTTAGGGTTGAAAGTCGATGTAGGAGGAATAATAGGAATTGAAGAGGAAGGTTGATTATGAATACAGTGGTCTTGAGTGCTGTTAGAGGTATAAGGATAGTTATCACTTCCCCGTTGCCCACGCCATGGAAAAGTTCTTCTGAAGGTACAAGAAATGGAAATTAGATCGAATGTGGTCTTAGTGACCTGAGAGCGCGACCGCAGTGCCCAAGGGACAACTGCTTAAGGTCGGCCACACACGACCTTTTTATGGGTAATTTTTGTGTTAGCTCCGTACTTGTTGAAACTTTACCGCCGGAGACGGATATTGGTGGGATAAAGTGAGGTGTGCATTTTTAGGGTCGACCATTTCCAACCTCATCCCTCCTTGTTGTAAGGCTGCATCGCTGTTTTGCTGGTGGTCTGAAGGAGACATCTTACTGCCTCCACACTTCTGTACAGTCAGCTGTACGAATCCGCCCTCAGGCCTTGGGTTTGCTGCCTTTAGTCTTAGGACCTTGAAAAACGGTTGTTCCAGCCAGTATAGCTCGGTTGGGTCATCACGATAGGCAAGTCCGACCACCACTTCAGTGTAATGGCATACGGTGCTACCCCTACTATTCTGGTATTAAGTCTGATAAGTTCATCTCACTGATTTATGGGTTGTGTTAACTGATGTACATACATTCCAGTTTCTACGTTGTGACTGACTGACTTATGATCGATAGATTTTCCTGGAAAGAAATAATGATGTTGACAAAGATACAATTAAACTTAGTTACCCTAGGATAATAGATTTATTACAGTTTCATATGCATACTATGATCATGTGCAAGCTTAGATTGTCATATTGTAGATGAATGTAACCACGGAGAAATATTTTAAAAACATTTTAGAATAGAAATTCTCTAAACTAACATATTTTAGCGAGCTTTTTTGTCTTTCTGAATGCTTCTGTACTTTAAACAACAACAATTAGATGACCATATCTTTCAGAGATTCCAGGCTTTGATTTCATGATGATTACTTTGATTACTACTATCCTTTAGCAACCATTTACTTCTGTCACAAATAAATTCTTACAATTATTAAATGGGGAGACCAATGGTATATTGATCTTTTTGGATATATATATATATCTTCCTTTTATGGTGTAATTACCAGTATTTACTTAACTATCAACAAGGTTACGTTGGAGCAGCATAAAAGACGTTTGGAAGAAATGGAGAAACTAGTCAAACATTTTGATTCTCCTATAGTTAATGAAACTATAAAAAGTGTTCTAAGCTCTGAAATTAAAAGTAGGTAAGTATTTAGCATTTGATTCACTGATTTTTGTCTATACAAAATAAAAAAAGTTCTGAAACACTACTGAATCATGTGTACTCTTAACATGTAGGTAAACATATTTTAAAACTTGTACTGTTCTTTCTTAACCCCAAGTTTATGTTGCAGTGATTTTTAATCAGACACTAACATTTAACCTTGGTAACATTAAATAAGCTTATGGTGATATCACTAATAAAAAATCTGAGATTTTCTTATTTATGATCATATAAAGTTACTTTCCTGACTGCTTATTAAACTCCCTTGTGCAGGACTCATCAATAATATTTTTACGACTTCATACCTTATCATCATTTTTTGTCAGGAGTATTAAAAGTTCTAAGCAATCTTCAATTCCATTATACTTTGGCGTTAATAATATTCACACTTAAAGGTGTGATAAAATGAAGTGAAACTTGATGCAATTTTGTGCTAATAAGTCTTACCTTCCAGTTACATGCAGATTGGAGTTCTCAGTGTTGATGGAAGACTTTTATTGCAAATTAGCGTTTTAAAATATTCCCAGGTTTAAATGGATAATGGAATGTTGAGAAAAATGTCACATTGTTTTCGGTGTTCAGAATTTTTGTTGCATCTAATATATATATATATATATATATATATATATATATATATATATATATATATATATATATAATACTTTTCATAACAACTGACATCAACTAGAGAATCATTGAAAGGGAATGTATGTATTTGGTTTTTACAGGGAATATAGAAATATTCTATTTAAGTATCAATGATCACATTTACAGCTTTAATAATTTGAAGATGGTGACCGATTTTGGGCTGATCATAACTGAGAAATGTTTTAGAAAAAATATTATTTTGAGTAATATTTCGTAGTAGTGGAGCCATAGAATAACTAAAACAGTCTTACACATATTAAAACAATTGTACTAACTGTTTAAGTTGTGGATCTGTGTGCCCTGTATATTGGATAACGCAACGATACCGCCAATCAGAAAGTAGCGAATTATCGATCGAACCAGTGACGCATAAAACACGTGCGAGCAGCCTAGAGTCCTGATTGGTCTCGCTTCTTGTCTAACCCAGCTAGTCAAGTCCAGAACACAAATCTCAGCCTCTGCAATATGAATCATTTCTTTCAAACATACTCGGTTTATATAACAACCAGACAGACCACAACGTACCATAAAATATGGAACAACATTAGTACAACATTTAGCCAAAAGTGGCTGTAAATGAGGGAGATAGTAATCAATAGACAGGCCATAACTCAAGAATGGTAAATCGTATAATAATAGTTCATAGGTCAAAATAAAACTCATAATAAGAGGGACATGAATATGAACAGTTTAGTTACATAAAAATTACCGGATAAAAATATACTCATAGCATTGATCCATAAATGGATCCCAAAAATTACCATTCATTATTCTTATCAGGATATATTACTAACGTTTACACCTAACCCACAAACTTATAAAAAGATGGCTTGACATATCCTTTGCCACAAGCACCATCATAGCATATTAACATGGTATATGAAAATGACAAGATTCTTATAAGGTGCCCTATTTCACTTTCTGTCAAAGTTTATATAGGATTTCCATTGGTTTACAGTTACGTTTGATATTCTGAATAAATATGTATTTTTATTAGCTTAAAAATGATCAAGGCTGCTAACATCATATATGTGGTTTTTTGATAAACACTCAGAAATAAGTAAAGAGGTAAACAGCATGATTAGTGACCACAGGTTTAACACTAAACGAAATTTAATTACTTGTCCAAATACCAACATCAATAAACTTTTTGTATTTCAGTTCACCAATAACAAACGGTGGTATAATCACAAAATAAGTTTTATGGACGGTAAAATATTTTCGCTGGATTTATTTCGTTCCCCATAAACTACACTACGTTTGCACTGACTCTATAAGTATTTTCCATTTTTGTAGTTAAATGTTTTAATGATTTTAGTTTTCCTGGAGATTTAATAAATTACAGGTTAAATGAAACAAATCATTAAGTCTTTTATTCGTTTTATGCTGCAGACATCAACAAAATCGACAATTGCAAAAACTTTACACTTGTATAATTGAGAAGTTCCTAGGAATCATAGACAAATGGCAGCCTAATTTGAATAATCTTGAAATAAATTCAAATTCTGATGTAAGCTGTATATATGTTTTCGCTTTGAGTATGTGTATTGATAACGAAAATAAAGAAATGATTACTGTTTCTAATGTTTATACTTTGATTAATCCCAGAAATGATCTAAACTGACTGAACATAGATCCGGTTCTTATTGGTGAGATAAATGTTCTAATAAGATTTCGGTGTCCAGTAACTAAGAATCAGTATCAACTATTGACCCTAATCGAATTAAAATATCGGAGCGATGAGTTCTATATTAACATTCCTTAATGTTACAATCAAAATTTCACATAACAACTCTAAGTTCTATGCCGAATGAGTACTAATTCACTAAGTAAATGGATGCCGATTTGTATTCGTGACATAAAATAAAGTTGATTTATCATAATTTCATAAAAATCTAAGTTTACAGAATAATCTTAGTCACTGAATATCCAATGATTCTCATTTTTCCGGATACTTAGATTGACTTTTTGACTGAGGTGGTTTAATTATCATAGGCCCTTATTATTAGGTTGAATCCGTGAACACTGCTGAAGTAGTGAACATTGGTTGATAAACTGTTAAACGTTTGGAAACAAGTATATGTGAACTATGATTTGTTATGACTGACTACTTTTGTTGTTTATTTGATGAACAGGCTTTCGAAAAATTTGATCATCGTTAATTTATGTATCTATTTTCAGAATGGTGATTTGACCGGGTCTGATCGTCCTGTGAATGAATCGGAAAATAACTCTAAGCTGTAGGTAAAGTTGTTACATTTTTTAAAGAAAACACAGAGTTCGAATTCTTACTAAAGCTTTAGGTGTTTCTTGATCAGATTTCCCACATAGGCAAAAGAGTTGGGTTGACAATCAGCAGTTTCTCAATTTTTTTTTCTACTTTAGACCCAAAATACTCAAAATGGTAGTTGGCTTAAAAAGCTATAGAAAGCGGTGTTGTTCGTAACTGTTGCGATGCTTTCTTTCAGAAATATAATATAATCTGATTAGCTTAATTCAATTGTGCCTGTTCAGTTTCGATGATTTATTAAATTCTAAAAATTTTGCATTTGAAAATCATTTTCTCAGAATTTAGTTCAAGTTGTTTTAATTTTTTAGAATAATAATATTTCTAAATTAATTCAGACCAATGACGAATAAAGATAATCTGTTATATGAAATTCTAACCATAATATTACTGGGTAAACTCTTTATAATATTCAAAGTTCCACAAAGTTTATACGAACACTGTAGGCTTTATTTATAACTTAGTTTATAGCAACTAGTCAGTAAGCATGTTGATAGTTATATGTAAATAGGGCTACTTTGTCCAAACTAAGATAAACTATTATAAAGTATTATACTTCTCGTCTAATAGGCGATAAAGTAGTAGAATCGTTTTAACTAACCAAGTCGACAAAAAGTTGAGTGTTAATACTGAAATTAGCAAAAGGTTTTTAACAAAACTGAATACTGACGCTTTGGTCTGTATTAGCTTTGTGGCTAGCAAACTGGACATAAAGCTACTACTGGATCTATTGAATTTATCTAAGCATAACGTTCACAATCATATTTGTACAGTGTTCCTAATAGTTTCTCATTTTTAGATATTACAGAGTAGATTCATCCTTTCCTCGTATAAGGATCTCCAATTTGTTGCTTAATCTTCTTTAATGTAGCAAAATTTGCTATTATCTCCTTCCGATTGCAGGTCACAGCTCTTACTCTTATTACACGAAGATTTAATTCATTTACAAACAAAATTAGAAAATGAACCTATAAAGTATGGTGAAACATCCATTGCAAAGGTGATTTCATTTCTTACTTTTAAAACAGCCATCCAGTCTTTCGTTTTTTATGATAGCGTCTAAAGAGTGATATTGAATGAAAAACATTCGGTTAAGTGTAACAAAGCGACTTCAGTCTCTAGTTCACAAATACCTTTGATTTACTGCGTTCATAATATTTTAGTGAAACATTATGGTCGTATTCAACTGAATATTGTTGGGGATGTTAGATCCTCAGAACTCACTTGGTAAATACGTTATTTTTGTAATTTTATTTTGAAAATTTGAATCGCTGTTTTTTCGCGCCAAAAGCGTTCTTTTCACCTTCATATCGTATTTCCCACTTGGGAGATTGTTAAACACTATTAGTTCGTTGTATCTTTTGGTATGCTATTTTGTAACGCTTCCCAAGGACAGTTTCATGCTGTATATATACATTTGATTTGTGCCTGTTGTTATCGCTCGTGCTTCTGGCTGCTTGCGGAATATATTTCCCCGTTCGAACTTGGGCTTCTCTCTCTAGTTAGCGGGGTTGGGACTCATCAGAATAGCTAGCTTATCGGTCTTTAGTCACAGAGTCTTTATTCCATTCTCAGACTAGGTGAACTTGTAATCGCTTCAAACATAGCAATCACCCAATTTCAGTCATTGGGATTCAGTTTTCCTTAACAGTTGAATGTAGTTTTTTGTAGAAAAAAACGTTGAAACCAAGCAATTCTATAGCTTAGTTACTACCAATTATATGTAATAATGTTGAGCCACCTAACGGTCTTTCACCACAACCTGATTGAAAGTATTCTGCGACCACAAATCAGAAACCGACTATTTCTTGATGAATAATTTTCGATACTACAAACTCTTGCCTATTGCTTACTGTAATATTTGGATTTAGAAGTTTAGTCAGATCGTCGTTTCGCTGAAGTTTGTGAAATCTAGATCGTATATGATCGACTGCACAAACTTAACAGTTAGTACTCAAGTCAACCATTGGGTTTATGATGTATGATAGACTATCATTAGCAGTTCAGTTGATCTCTCATCATTGTTTATTTCCTGTGGACTTCCTTTTCCTTACATGTTAAAAATAATGAACAATGTGAACCAGAATATTGTTTAAATTTCCTACTTTCTTAATTGTGTGGACAGTAAAGCCTCGGTATTACACATGGTTTATGACGAATTTCACAATTATATAGATTCAGTTTAAACATAGAGATGAAAGATTCGTCCTATTTTAAAGTTTATCTTCTGTGCATTGAAAAAAACGAAAATTTTGTCATATAACTAGCTGATAGGTAACATGTACGATTCCAGATACCATCGCACAGAAAGATTAGGACAGCAAAAACGTTGAAGTGAAAGATTGTAAATTAGTATCACTATGGTGGATCTGAAATTTCGACTAAACTTAATAAAACTGACTAAGTGAGATATCATATTTATTGAAAATAACTTTTGTAAGAATGGTTAGATTTGAACTGGTGAATCCCTATAGCTTCACTCAGGCTTTAATCCTGTCCTTTTGACGATGTAGATAGTCTTGAACCATGAATCCCGTGGTGGCTGGCGACAAAAGCTTATGTTCAAGGATTGATTTACATTCACATTTTGATTTATTTATATTAAAAGACTTGGATTAAGTTAGACATTTAAACAAGGAAAGTAATCATGAGAAGTCTGTAAAATTAAAGAGTGAATATGTCCTTATTTTCCCTCTTCCTTTACATTTCACTGGTATTTTTCAGAATGCGCAAGAACCTTTGGACTTCAGAACACTAGCTGAATCTATTCTGGTAGTGAAAATCAGTCTGGAATTGAAGATTAACAAATTGGAAAAGCAGGTGAGGTTATTTTTTATTAGTACAAACTTTACGAATTTCACCTACACGAATTGGTTTAGCTTACTTTCGTAACAGAGTGAATGAGAAAGGTTACGTTAATGCCTCCCAAAATACATAGTAAAAGTAGAGCGTTGCGTATGTTCCTTTTTCGCATATAGCTCTTGTTTTTCTATGCATTTTTGATAAAGGGTTCAGCAATCTTTGTGCATAGATTTGTTTTAGTTAAAAATTCCTTATCTATCTGTTAGGTGTCCTTTTTTCGCAATTCTTACACATACATCTGTTCTTTGTGGACAGATTGAGCAAGTGTAATTAATACCACATGGATTGAACTCACATACAACAACTGATGTAGCCGACTTTAAAGCAGATAGTGAGATAAATCGATACTGAATTAGCCAGATACCAGAGATTGTTTTTTTTTGTTAGTGGGTTTGCTATCATGAATATATTCTATCATTTCTGTCGTAATCGTGACTTAGTTTTTATTAACCATAACTATCACCCCTCTCCTTCACTGCATGTATCTCTTAAGTTAAACCGATTCGTCAGCTTATGTACTTTTTCTAACTATATTTAATCTTCAAATGTATCGGGGAGTTTTATGCAGTCTATATTCATGATTGTTTATTTGTGTCTAGTTTCAAAATTATTTTCTGATTCTTTTAATGCTTTTCAGTCTTACTATATATAACATTTTAAACTTTTGTTGATTTTCGTTCTTTCTCATGATTATTTTCTTGATGAGCGGGAGAATCGTTGATGACCATTGAGGATTGGCGTTTTGTCCTGTTTGCAGACACATGTGATGGAAACACTGACTTACACTTTACTTTCAATCGGTTTGTAATTCAGGGAGACAAATCACATGCTAGAAATTCCTATTAATATAATAGAAATTCATCTCGAAGCAGTTTTCGCACTAAGTGTTTGCTTATTTTTTGTTATTAAGAAATGTATTACAGATTTACAATGTAGAAGGTGTTGATGTTTGCAGTTGTTCAAATTCGGAAATCCATTACCTGAAAGAGATCTATCTAAACCACTTCATTTTTTAGTGCCTTAATTATTGCTGTTCACTTTACGAAATTATTATTAATTAAGATGAATGAACAATTGAAAGTCACTGGCAGGCATTATGCAATTTTTAATTTTTAAAAAATATGCATCATAAGAGGAATGGTGCAATATAATGGATATATTTATATTTATTCTCTAATTATTAAGAGCTTGCATTTTTCGTTGACTCAAATAGTCTTATTAATAATCTGGATATTATTGTTCATGTATATTTTTTGGGAGCTAATACCGTCTTAAGAAGACCAAAGGACACCTTTTCCCATTTTTTTGAGAGCAATCGTCAGAAGGTGATTCGATAACAACTTTTAGAATTGTTTAAAAGTTGTGCATGACTACAGTAAAATTTAGAAATCTCAAGCTGACCCAATGAGAACAAACAGCGTACACAATTAAATATGAGTTTGCTGGAAATATTAACTTCTTTCAGTTTCTCTTCCACGTATTCCAGATATAAAAATGATTTTATGTTATCCTTAAGTTATATTTATTTTCTTCACTAGCTTAATTTGGAACGTGAAACGATTCACACCGAAGTTGTTAAACTAAAAGAAATTTGTGATCGCTTCAAAACAAGAGGAAATATATAAACCTAAAAATTTGATCATTCATTTGTCTGTTGTACCAATTAATAAAAGTGTAGTAAATCAACTTTTTTTCTCTATATTTATACGACCTAATTTATAAAAAAGTTTACTCTTTGTTATCATATACCTAGCTGTGATTATTCACATTTTTAAGTGAATTTTCACTGGAGATGATCAATGAGAAATTTGCAACTTTAAGCATAGAATTTATTTCCATCAAGGTAAATTTCATATCACATGCTGAAAATATTCATTTGTCTCCGTTTCTTCATTTTTCTATTTTAAGTAATTCCAAAACTATACTAGTCCTAATTCGTTTTTTCCGGTAATACTCTGAGACTTAGGAATAGATTTCGTTCGTTTCTATTGCCAATGCAACGCGAATCATCTAATACTATCCTTGATCAAAATACTAGTTCACTATCTAATAAGTGCTGAAAAAGACTAACAAAATTATGCCCACAAAAGTTTTTCTCTTGGACACAGTTTTTAAACTGAAGTTGAATGTTTCAGATTTTTCATTTATCACAAAAAATGGAATAGATATAACAATTACTCAAACTATTTTTTGGGCAATACGCAAGTATGTATCTTCATCGTGTATTTATAATCAAACGAATTGATTTCTAAATACAGAGTAATGCTTCTAGTTGAATAAGTTTTACTATTAGGTAATGCATTCTTTGGCAGACACGTTGATAAGGGCCATATTTTGAAACTTGCTTCCTTATTAATGCTTATTCATCAACCGCGAATTTTTAGACTTTGTAGGATTCTTAGTTGCCATAGTGTTGGGGACGATAGATCCCCAAACTCATATTTTTAAATTTTATCTTATCGATCAACTTATTGATTAAATGTTTAAACATTTGTATTGGGGTCAATTGATGAACTGACCGATTAAATGTTTGTATAGCAGTCAGTTTATGAACCTATCGATTAAATGTGCAAATAGGTCAATTGATGAACTATCGATTAAATGTGCAAATAGGTCAATTTATGAACTCATTGATTAGTGTTTAAAATTTTTCTATGACAATATCGATTGTAAATATTGTATAAATACGCGTGAGATGTGTGTTTGACTTGACTTGTTATCTGCTGTGTGTCTGCAGAATACACTTCTACACCTTACCCAGACTTCTTGATCGAGTTAGCAGAGTTGGGGGAGAACGAACTAGAATAGCTATCGAGTCGCTGAGTCACTGATCCTTCGTTCGTTGAGTAAGACGCATCAATAATAGCATTCAAGCGAATAACGAATCATAACACATAGGGACTCCACTATAATTCGATTGATAATCATTAAGGGAACCCACACGTTGACCATCATCAGACAATTGCAGTAGATAAAACACTAATGTGTGTGGACGAGAAGTCTATAATAAGCTTGAATAATACTATTTTACTTCTTACTAGTTAATCATCAGTCTTGATGTATAATTATTTACTGGCTGTTTTGAGCAAGTCATCTAAGACGAAAGATATATCCTGAATCCCATCGCTAATAATTTAATGAAAAAGTACCATCTGATTTTCGAACTATTTATAAGTAGTTTGAAATTATATAAATACACACTTCAATCATGATGTCTAGTGAAGTTTGTATTCAACAGTATTTTATTTTCCACACTCAGAAAATAAAGTAATAATGAGAGGATTCGAAAGAAGAACATGAAAAAATTGTAACTCATTAAAAAAATGCAATTCATAAAATTCATTTATTTGGAATAGAAACATTTGATCATTCATAGCTAAGTACTAATTGATAACAAAATGTGAAAACCACAAGGAAATAACTTTCAAATCAGGAAACTAATTTATCAATGATGTACAGAAATACTCTACTTGAGAATCCATAAGAAGACTTATAAGTGAAACATTAAAATGACTTCTAACATAAAGCTGTAACAAATAGAACATAAAGATATTCAAAAATATTACAGGGATCAAAAAGGCAAGTAAGAAAATCAATAAATATTCCCATTGAAATGTTGAAAACAGAAGTTGGGCGAAAAAATATTTTCCCTTAACTAAAAATTGGCAATCGACTGAAATTTAGTAAACTAGAACTGCGGGACAACCAAAGGGGATACTTGTTTAATAAAAAAGGATAAAAATATCACAGGGGAAAAAGGCAGATTATATATGGAGGTTAGATAATCGGGAGTAAAGAAAATAATGTATGATCAATCATTATTTACTCAGTAGAATGATTCGAATTTCAAACAAGATGTACAAACCGTGATTCACTGCGTAATCTCACCCATTTATATATTTATTTTTTATAAGTAGAAATCCATATACATGTTTGTGTATGAATGTATCTGTATGTATGACGAGCGATAATTGCAGACCTTTTGTATTTTATCCCCCCACCTAGCGGAGAATTTTAGATTTAGGAAAGTTACATAGCTTTACATCCTGATGAGAGATATTTTCATCATCTTTTATTGTCACAATTTTTATATCTTCTTTCTCAAATTATCATTTTCTTATCTAAATGTTATTCCAATCTTCATTTATTTTCAAAATATGTAGGATTATTGGGACAGCGTTTTGATGTTTTCTGTGTCAAAAATGTTTAAAAATATATCTATTATCAAAGTTGACGATAATAGCATGATTTTTTAATCGGGTTATAATTAGTTGCATTTAGGGAAGTTTAATCAGCCCTCAGTTATCAAGCCAAATGTAAGGTTAAACAATTTCAACTAGTTCCTAGTGAGCTAATCTCATGGTATGCCTGTTTTTAAATGTGATCTATGCAAATGTGGGGTCATGATGGTCTCAGTATAAAACATTCTGCTACGAAAGGGATACTTTACGAGTGATTACCACCATGAAATTTTGAACGTGATAACCGATTCAGTCCTTACGTATTTCCAATTACTGCCTAGGTGACAGTGAATTTGGGATATGTGTGCATTTTCGTTCTAGACTTGTTCAGTTTGATTGTTTTCTCAATGCAAGTTTAGCTTAACACCCTCTTCATCTGTCATTAAAAGTTTACAACCTGTCTAAATGAGCCAGCTACTAGAACTTAACTTAAAACTAATATGCCCCAAACCTAGTTAACAGTATATGGTTTACGCATTGTGTCAGTGAAGAAATTTCTATGAGAAAAATTTTCTTCTCTTCGATGTCATTCATTGAACGTACGATCATATCTTTAGCGAATTTACAGCAAAGTAGTCTTCAGGAAAATCGACGGGATATTACATTATAGAGTCATGGGAAATTCCAAGTGTCAAAATGGTGCTACGTAGCGACCGGGAATTTAAGAAAATATAAAATGAAACCCAATGTTTTGAAGATAAATTGTCCATTTGACGAGTACGAAGAACTTACTTACGTCTGTTACTCCCAATAAAGCATAAGCCACCGACCAGCATTCCCCAACCCACTCTGTCCTGGGCCTTCCTTTCTAGTTCTATCCAATTTTTGTTCATTTTTCTCATGTCTGTCTCCATTTCTCGGCGTAATGTGTTCTTTACCCTTCCTCTTCTCCTTCGACCTTGAGGATTCCATGTGAATAGTATGAAGGAGGCGACGGATAAATTCAAAACGTGAAGGTAACTGCAAAAAAAATTAAAAACATAAGAATGTAGCCAGCAGTAATATACAGTGTATGAAAAAACTAAATGTTGTGGCTATGGCAGAATAAAGGTTTGCACTTAATTCAGGTTTAGGATGAAGAATTACTAATGCTCCTTCAATTTACAAGTTACTAATTTGTACTCCCTCCGAAATTAACCATTGACCATTTAAATTATTAGGAAGGATATATCTGGTGAGGCAGTATGACCAGAATTGCTGAGATGTTCCGATACTGAGCTACTGATTATTTTATATTTTCATTTCAAA